CGCAGCGCAATATACTGTAAATATTGTGTTGTAGTTGTACAATTGCGCAGTTAAAACAACGCGTTTTTTTGTTATTTACAACATCTACCTTTACCTGTAGCAACAACCTCAACACTATAGATATATATAGTAATATTAGGCCTATAATCGTCTCTACTACGCCTAGCAAGCAGTAGTAGAGGTGTATAATAGCTACTGTATTTGTACTTGCTAGTGCTACAGTGTGTCGCCTACGGTCGCCTAAAGCAGGCAGCTGTCAGCGACACACTGTAGTATTAGGAGATTTTTTTTTGCTGTATTTAAATCGCGGTAGTAATAGCTCTATTGTAAGGTTTTTTTGTATATATATATGTATATACAGCGTTGTTAGGAATTTTTTTTGTATATTAGTTGCTAACCTTAACACTAAAAAAGTATCGTGTGATTGCTGCTACGGCAAACCTAACAACCTTACGCGTAGGCCTTAGCTAATCAAGCCAATTAAGCCAAACAATTAAGCTAGCTTACAGCAGCTTAGCTTAATTGATTTGTACCTCTACTCCAGCTTGGCTTGATTGATTAGCCAGCTTGATGCGCCAGCTTGATAGCGATCAAGCTGGCTTGATTGTTGACAAGTCTGTCTACTTCGGTGTCCTTTCTGTATGCAGGTGCAATAGGTATGGCTGGCATGTAGAGCATGCAATGTATCAACAGCAACGTGAGGCGCTACGAAGCTTTCTGGAGAAGAGATCAGAGGAGCAGATCAAAGTACTGAGTAGATTGATATTTCATTTTTACAACGAGATGGAGGGGAAGTGTGAGTGGAAGATGGAAAGTGCAGCTTTTTGGGTCGACGAGCTGGGTTGTAATGGGCTTTTTTCCTAGCCGTAGATTGAGAAGTTGATTCATGTTCCTAGTTGCTAGATGTGTCGTTGCGCCAAGATAACCGACAATGATAGCTGTATGTTGCAAAGGGTAGCCTTGGACTAATGACCACTGCTATAGCTTGATATCTATATCCTGGTTGCTTTACTCGCATACCACATTAGGGTCGGAGATGAAGGTGAAGGCGGGGATTTTCTATGACGTGTCGTTGACGCGGTAAGTCTCCTTGCATGGTCTCATTCACCTTGACCACCTCTCCAGGAAAGAAAGAACGTCTGTGAATACCCGACCTTGGCAGGGTCTCTTCGGACATTTCAATCTCCTCTCCGACTAGATCTCTTCCACCAACACGCTTTCCACCACCGTCGCCCTTCATTGAATCCTTGCGATCACTTCGCCATCGATGTCTTCCTTCTCTATCGGCAACGCGGCTGATCAGCATCTAGAGCAGTCTCGAAGTGAGATTGCTGCGCGCGACAAGATGTACGACTCTCCAGTTCCTTACGTTTTCTCGCTTAGCGGCAACTGATTTATGATAGCTCCGAGCTCAACGCTGCAAACTCCCTACTCCTTCGTCTCCCGGCTGAAATTAGGAACATGATCTACGACAACGTCTTCCGTGATCAAGTCCTCGAACTTGAAGACACAGGGTTCACTCTCCTGGAAGAAGATTACGACAGCATCAAGACAACAGCGAACGTCAAACAATACCTCAGCCTACTTCGTGTCTCTCGCCAACTGTATCGAGAAACCGCCCTTTTACCATATCAGCTCACCACTTTCAACTTTGGCTGTGCTCGTTATCCTGGTATCAAACCGCTCGATGTTCTGGAAATGTTCTTATTGAACCGGTCTTGGGCGCAAGTTTCGAGACTTCGGAACTTGAAGTATTTTGAGTCTCAATGGCCCTATCACATGCCGTATGTGGAGAAGACTGGTACTGGCCTGTACTGGTTCGCTCACCTGAGTCTGAAACCTTCCGACTTGGCTGTGTACGGAACAGTTGCATGATATCGTTGATTTCAAAGTCGTGATTGTACACCTTCTGGTCTTGATGAATGGGTTCTGCAGGGGTGGCCGAAAGCGGGGGTCGGGGTGGCTATGTACTAAGCCATGTCCTTAATGCGGTTAGTCTGCTTCAGAACTCGCAGTTTCCTTAATTACCCATAATCTACAACGCACCTTTTCCACGTCGCCTCTTCTGCCCTCATCTAAGCACCCCAAGCGCAAGACGACATGCCCATTCGCAAGCAGGCTGCGCCACCCTTGAGTAGCAGTTCTTCCGCAGAGGAAAAGGAGACGTGTCTGATCGTGACCCCGCAGTTCAGTCCTCAGAAGCTGCTTCTAGATGAACGTGCTCGCCTGAGCAAAATGTAAGTCCCTTGAGTCCCACACATTAGCGCTCTGACTTACAACGTCTTTTAGCACCGAAAGCAATGCTGTTCAGTCACCACTTTTACGTCTTCCAGCAGAAATCAAAACCATGATATATACGTATGTTTTCGACGAGGTCGTTCAAATCAACAAGTACCCATGGTTTCTCAACTACCATGTCAGCCTAAGGCCACGTCAGTTCAGCGATTATGATCGCTATCCCTCTTCCACCTACTGCGAACACAACTTTCTAAGCCTGCTCCATGTCTCTCGCCAGATTCACCAGGAGACCGCTTTACTTCCGTACAAGCTTGCAACATTCGATTTCGATACTTTGCCCACAGAAGAGCTCGAGGATGATGAAGACAATATGTTTTCGGCTATAAGAGTGTTCCTAGAAAAAAGAACAAGGAAACAGGTCGAAGCTCTTGCCAAGTTGGAGATTTATATTCTCAATGATCATGTTCCGAACATTGGAGAGTTGGAGTCAGGGACCGGTATGTACTGGGTTACAGAGTTGAATTGCGAGATCCCTCCTGCCTAGCTGTTGGTCAATCGTTTTTGCCGGTCATTCCTGCCAGTGAGCAGTGAGCGTGATGGTGAAACGGGTCCTTGAAGTACGTGCTTTCGTTACTGAGGCAATCTTGGTAGAGCGGTGCCGGTGGGCAGCTTACTTGTTAGCACTCTGCTATCGCCATCTGCCAGAATCCAGGACGTGCATGTATCCACAGATCCGAAACGATTGCTCCATCGTTCCACACTCAGCTGTGTTCACTTGAGATCGACCCTCATTGCCGCTCTCGCACTTTGCGTATATATTCAGATGCCAACATCCATCCCGCCTTTGAAAAACTTCATCCCGTTCATCATGGCCTCCCAGAGCCACACATCACTGTATACTGGCAATAGGCAACTCACTGATAAGAAGAAGTGGGATGATAGAGTCCAGGTAGCGAATAGGGATAAGGCTTATATTTCTACTTCCAAGGCCGCTGGCCACCGCGTTATGCATAACCAATCCCGTCGTGACCAGGTGTAAGTAATTTAGTTTCTCATACAACAGACTCGTGATCTGAAAGTTCCCATGTCTCCGATTTAAACACAAGAAATTGCACCATACTCTACCCGCCGGCCGAGATTGGAAACATGATATGGACTTGTCCTCTTGCTAAAGACTACGAAATCAGCTACGCATGCATCAGAAATAGTCGCGACAGGATTCCCTCCCTAATCTTTTTTGATCATGGTCCTCCGAATCTGCTCTTCATTTCTCGTTAGGTCCATGTCGACACAGCACTTCTTCAATACAAACTCAACACTTTTGGCGTTGCTCGTCTGGAACGATCTTTTGTGAAGCAGATCTTGTGGTAGCGAACGAAGCAGCACATGGAAGCGACGACCAAGTCAATAATCCAGATCTTTGGTTCACCTCCACTTTTCCGGAAGCCTTAAATCCCATCGGGGGCTTACCTCTGAGTCTCACAACCTTTTCTCCTTCCAAAACCACCCCGCTTACGACAGTCATCATACACCCCACGATTCTAGTCAAGAGGCGCGGAGCATGCTTCTCGCCGACGCTATTTCTGCCAGGATATCGGACGTGAAGTCTCAATCCAAAAAGCGTGACAATAAGTCAGAGCAGATGTCTACCATGCGTAGTCAAGCTCAATTTCCTCATATTCAGGAACCTCGCAACCACAAGTAAGCGCCCTAATTCCTGATCTTAGAGTGCGCGACTGACGTGCTTTACAGCAGCAGTCTCATATCCTCTCCCCTTCTTCGCCTTCCAGCCGAGCTCAGGATCGCTATCTACGACTATGTGTTCGGAGACGTCTTCTACCACTTAAATGTACACCACGGCCCTGCCAAGACCTATTCATCGTTCAACGAATGCAACCTGGGTCTCATAGCTGCCTCTCGCCAACTCCACTCGGAAACACGATTGCTACCCTACAAATTAGGCATATTCACCTTCCATGTTGCTATCCCGGATCATTCAGAAGACTATCGTTCATCTCGCATAAAACAGTTTGTTGATTCAAGGACAGAGGAACAGAAGGTCGCTATCAGCAACAACATGGAGGTCTTCACAAACTGTGTCAAATTTAACCCATGGATGGTGCTTTATGGAATCTCAGTATGGACACAGGACGATTGGGAGGTGGCTATAGCAGAGCAGCTGGATGAGCAGTGGCTAGATCAAGAGCTTTGGTAGTAGTGAGCAAGACCATTAGGTGGCTGGGCATCAAATACCGCCTTAGTGAATATAATGACTCAAGGTTGGCTGCTTCTTCCACTAGACGCTAGCCTGTAAACTGTCTTCCCTAGCACTATGGCAAAAGCCTGTCGGGGATGAGTTGTGGTCTGAAAGGGCAGTCGTATATGAAGGAAACTCAGCGTGGACATATTAGGGTTGAGAGCCGGCTGCCTGAGAGTTTGTGTGGTAGTGATTTGTATCGCCAGGTGGCTGAGCGGCAGATATGACAGTGGTGAATATGTCGATTCAAGGTTGGTTGTCTCTTTCGTTGATGGCTAACTTGCAGAAGTAATTCATTAGTACTATTTCATAAGCCTTTTCTTGTAGGAAGCTATGTCCAGGGAGCTATCGCAGAGTTATACCAGAATCGTATCCAATATGTAAGAAAGCTATAGACTGCTAGGTCGCTAAAAGCCAATTGATAGTAGCTTAGATTAATCTTAGGCTAAGGCTTAGGGCTTTTGTCTAGATATCGTTTGTATGGATACAGTTGCGAGCTGCACGCTTGCACCTTGATCGGGTAATCATTGAGGATCCGCCAACTGGACTCCAGACCATTACGGGTATAGTCTCTACCAGTACGACAGCTGCTCAAGATGACCATAGAAGGTAACGTGTTCGTTCTCCCAGATGCCGTCTCCTTGAGCATAAGCCTCACTGATGTTGTATCCTTTGGTACCTGGAAGTGGGCCGAGTTCGCCATTCTTGATCACCTGGTGGATGTTGAAGGATGCGTTGCGCTGAGAGAGGTTCAACTCGACATCTTGGAAATAGTTATTCCCGCTGTATTCGCTTGTCCATGAATTGAATCCCTTTGTCGTGTTGTCCACTTCAAGGACCTCGTGAATGCCATTGGGGTGCCAGATCGTCGCCCAAGCAGGAATGCCGAAAGGCTTCTCGACGGTTGGGCCTACAACCCAGCCATGGATCAGGATACCATTAGAAAGGTAGAGCCAATATCCGTAGTGTCCCCCAGCAATTCCGAACTCGCCCCACTGGCGCTCGAAATAGCCTCTGGACTGATCTGAATCAATTACCAGTGTTTCTCCCCCGACCGTGATAGTTCCTTCAAGCTTGAGAGTTGGATTGCCCTACAAGTAGAACGTGTTAGCAAGACGAACACTCTTATCCAACTCCACAGTGCGCACATACCCAATACCAAGAATACCCTGGGACAAGCGTGCGATAGTCATTTTGGTTGGAGTTTCCACCATTCTTGGGTGAGATCGTTACCCCACCAGCGCCCCCAATGTACAAGTTCTTGCCCGTCGGAGTCATTTGAACATCCATCTTGACACCGGCATAGTCCGCAGAAATATGCACATCGGTGAAGTTGTCACCTCCGCGTGGACTTGTGAGGTTTTGAATCTCTGATCGAAAATTGAGAAAGTCAGTGCTCCCAGTTCCAGGTGCGAAGGCAGTTGCCCCAGTGGATGAGAGGTTCTGCAGGTCTTCCACTCTAAAGATACCAGTTGTCTCGCCGCGAAAGAAGTTCGGGGCCAGCATCGTATGAAATTTCCGTCCACAGGTGGTGGTCAACCAATAGAAATAGCAGTAGCTGTTCAAGTTCTCTGGGTTCTCTTCATCAAGCCAGACCATCGTTTTGCGAACATCGTAGCGACCCGCGTGCGTCTTCGCTGATAGTGAGTTCTTGTTCCATTTTGATATGTAGGGAAACATACACCATCATTATCAATAGTACTGATTGGGAAGCTTGGTCTGACAAATGGAGGGATTTCAGAAATGTTGGCGGCGCTTGCGAGACCAACCAGAAACAGAGAAAGGGACCGCATCGTGACTTTAATGTATCAGCTGTGCGAGATTGGCGTGGAGGAAGCCTGAGGCAATGATCAGGAGGAAGATACCAAAGCACAATATATTTGAGTGCCATGATGGACCGTGTTATTTAACTCACTCTAGTGCTATTAAGACTCTTCTACGACTATGTCTGTCTTAGTTGCTAGCGCTTCTTCGGGAGCAACATGACATCTTCACGTTGCAATTCGTTGCATCGAAACCTTGTACCTATGACTCGCAATGTCCCCAAATACTGTGCTAGCAAAGACATCGGATTCCTATACGCGTACTCATTTCGTGGGTCTGTTGATTGCGGGTATGACGCAATCGTACCGAACTTGGGATAGTTTCGTGCATATGCACCTAATGCACGAATTGGATCAATGCAAAGAATGGTGGAACAGGACCTCTATTTCATCGCATGATGACTCAATAAGCATTTAGAACATTAGATTGCGCTTATATGTATACATAGAACAAAGCAAGTCAATGAGTTTCATGCAGGAATGTCAAACATTTAGTTTGTATTTAGGTAATCTATCCTAGCAACATTGCTTCTGTTTGTAAACAGACTATTCTGATGAATTTAGATGCATCAATCATACTGCGACAATGGATTTCGTGATCGAAATAATCTTGCAATTGTATTCTCGGAGTGCTCAGCAGGTATTTATTGTAAGCACTACCACAACGCGTACATACGAACGCGGTAAAGGCAGAGTGATATAACACTATGCACGAAGATTGGTCTAATGTGTATATGTAGACGAAATACTGGCTTTACCTACCTGTCTTTGAAGGCAGGACGGCAAATTCCGTACCACCGCGGAGATACAGAATAAGCTTTCCTAGGCTCGTAGTTTATACGACTTACGCGTATTCTTAGTGCAAGCAGTTATATAATTTTCGGCGCCGTCGGACCGACTTTTGCAGGGATTCATCATCCACCCGTTAGGAGGCTACCTGCTGTAAGTTGCAGATGTCAGTGAGAAATATCGCTGTTGATCATAGCGTATACGTTATGTTCATGCTGACGTGAATTGAGGGTTTGTACAGGATCTTTTTTTGTGATCAAGCAAACCACATAGTTTATTGATCGCTAGTGGAGCACTTTGATACATGTAAGGCTTTCTTATGATTCCGCTCAAAGATGACTCCAAATTCGCTCACCATTACCCTGTGATTCTGAATAGTTTCCGCTGCAATGATCCTCTCGGAGTTGTGTAACAGCACCGCTCAGCGCGTCAACTGATGACACTTTGCAAAGCGATACGGTTCAGCATCGGCCAATGCGATTCAGACTAAATATCTGTCAAAAGCAACGGCGCACTGGGTGTCCAAGCATCTGCACATTGAGACGTGTAGCTTTCTACTAGGCTGATAGTTTATCCAACATTGTGAACTGATAGGCTCTCGTTTCTCGTTCAAGTCATGTGCTGGTTGAAAGATGACGACCTGTTCAAGATTTGACGCCCAAAGATTCGCCGACGGGCTTGCCGGGAAGCTTGCCGAAGTGTCTGGAGCGGCTTACGAGGCCATGCCGAAAGCTGCATGTTGGAATCCATCCAAATATCATCGTCGTCACTAAACCTTGCAGACCAGGAAGAACGGTCAGCTACCATCTTTGTACGATCCGCTGCCATCCGCTCGGACACACCGGTACTTTTTTCTCCGAGAACAGTCCTTGGAGAAGAGCAAAGTGAAGCGTAATTGCTGTAGACGTATAAATGCGAGTAACAAACTATGGAATATGTAGCTTGTCCTACAAGAAAGTTTTAACAGATCTTCTCAAAGCCTACATTGAAACCTATCGTTTGCACAATTCGCCTTTGAAAATGTCAGAAATTAAAGGCTACGAGATCGGCGAGATCAACGCGAAAGCTGCATTCACCTCAGATATCATCCTTGACGCCAGAATCGATCTTCCTAGTTGTGTCAATGCACAGGAGTTGGGTCGTCGTGATATGGACGTCCGTAAAGGCATGTACATCACGTACTTGCCTTACCAACCACATCCAATCACGGGCCAGATTATGGCGGGCGGACGATATCTGTTCGAAACTTGGGAAGACGTACTTGACTACGATCATTGGACCACCAATGTTTACGAGACTGGGGATCCTCCAGAGAAGTTTTGGAGCCGATCAACGATGCAAAAGGTCGAACGATGGAACTGGCATGTCGCTGGAGCCTGTCACTTCTCCCATCCCGAAACCCATGGTCTAAGCCGTTTCCAACGTTGGAGCTACTCTGGTGACAAGGTCGAAGAACATCTCCGCGAAGTTTATCCCCGTATTCGTGATGCAGCCAAGGTCTATGAAGCCGCAGGAGTGTGGCTTTTGTACCAGCCGGAGGCAAATTTGATTGGTCTCTTTACCATAATGCGAAAGCCGGAGAATCTGGACTCTTCGTCTCTCTACGAGGCGATCGAGGATTTGAAGGCCCAGCCATCTCTTGGGCCGCTTTTCCCCGAGCCGCTGAGTGTTCGATCGGTGTTTGATCGCTCAAGCCTCAACTTGTCAATGTGGCTTCCTAAGTCGCGCCTGGCCGGGGGCGTTCACCAAGCTAATACCCTAGCTCCTATTTTCCCTCCAGTTACTGTGTAGATTCATCTAGTCAGTACCAAGAGCAAGAAAAGATAACAAATTGGTGTAAACACAGATATAATGGTTCCAAAGCATTGGTGTTCCAGCACGGGCCACTTCGTACATGATAGGTCACATGTGTACCCTTCCTATGTATGTAACACTGCGGAGCTCCTCCGCGACCTTCTTGCTACAGCTTTCTTGTCATTCCACTTGAATATATTATCTTGTCTTTTCCGAGACCCTTACAATAGACTACAAACGCCCTGCCCACTATTGCTGGAATCAATGTAAGCGGACGATGGCCTGCATGGTCCCTGTGCAGTGGGAACATCGTGACAACAGACTTCGCAGCAATATATATACATATCTATAACTAAGAGACTGATCATCTGACAACAACCACACGTATGCTCTTGATTGAGTGTTACAAATATGTAAGCCGAATTACTAACCAAGCTTCACAGTTGTATAACATTACATCAGCGTGAAGTTCTTCCTTGCAATTCAGCAGACTAGATTAGAGTTCTGTACTCTCGTAGAGAGAGGTTCGAGCGATGGCTCGTTTGCGAGCACGCTATGGAAGATATGTCTTGAAATGATGGGCGAATATCTCAGGCCTGTTGTAGTGACCTGCGAAATCAAAGGTGTGCTTATACCTCTTTACAGCGTCTAGATCGACATCGGCGAACACGATTTCGTCTCCTATTTTCGCATCAATCGACCCAGCAACCTCGACACCTCCCGGTGCAAATATGGAAGCTCTTCTTTTTTTCTGCTCGCTTCGCATGAAATCCCTGGTTCTCTCGTCGATTCCGTATGCCTCGATCTCTGCATCAGAGACAACAGCAGCCGCGTTGATGACATAAGTCCCTACTGAGAATGCAACCGCCTTGCCGGCCGTATTAATGAAGTCGGCCACGTCCATTCCAAAGGTCAGAAACTGCGGCCAAGCAGCGACATGTACGACAGGGTGATCCAAGGCAGTCGAGTACTGCCCTAGGGGGTTGCCATTTTCACCACACAACAAACCACTCAGCCCACCGAATTCCGTTTGGATCGACGTCTTGCTACCTGTTGTGCCAGGCGCATGGATCATACGTTCTCCCACAGTCGGCACGTATTTCTGGTGTTTGTGCAGAAGAGTTCCATCTCGGCCGATAGTCAGTTGGGTATTGTAGAGCGTTCCAGTAGTGTTCGGATGGCGCTCGTTAATAGCAACCACAGCGTAGATGTTTGCTTCTCTGCATGCATCCTGCAGCGATTCCACTTCAGGGCCAGGAACTTCCACTGCGTTATTGAAAAGTTGAAGGTAAAGCGATTCCATGAGAGGGTCAGTATTGCTGAGGAAGGGAAACCAGCCCGGAAATCCTGGGATGAAACCCTCAGGGAAGCCAATGACATCTGCACCTCGGGATCCCGCTTTTCGGATAAGTTCACATGCCTTTTGTGTCGAGGCTGTCTTGTCTAAAAATACAGGAGCTGCCTGTACAGCTGCGAGTTTGATAGCCATGAAGAGTATAACAAACTTGGATTTGGAGATATTGGATAAACGTGATAGGCTTGTTCGAAAAGTAGGCTTTTGTTAGCAGTGATGAGATACCTGATGCTTCCGGCGGTATTTATGCACAGTTGCCGACACGACGATGCCGATCGGCATCGAAGTTAAGGCTGTGTGAACTGCCGCTTGATGCACAATGAAAGAAGGCCCGATAACTTCCAAAACCTAATATCGGACAGAAGACAGGAGAGCTATGTAACGGTTAACGTGTTTCACTAACATGCTAGATACACTACTGTATGTCAAGCAGTATGCTGTTAGCCGATGCTGGACACACGTCATTGTGCACTCATAGAGTCTATTGTTCTGTAAGCCTAAAAACGAATTGCCGTCAAGCCACGATAGCGCCACTACAGATTGCGATAAGATAGTGCAAAGCTAGAATCAAACTAGGACTAGGCTTATAGATGTAAGAGGTTACGCCTACGTACTGCAATACGCAGTTTTTCATATTCAGTTCTGGCTTGGAATCATTGAAGGTGATCTATAGAACCTGAGAATGGGCACAGGACGATTAGACGGTGACTGCGTCATAGTTGATGTCGCAATGAGCTAGACCGCTATATGACTAGGTGTTAGATACCGCCGAAGTGAATTGAATAACTCAAGGTTGACTGCTACTTCCGTCAGACGCCAGCCTGTAGAACTGCCTCACCAGCACTATATCAAAAGCCTTTCCTTGGTCTTTCTTTCTACTTTCCTTTTCCAGATCATTCCACCCGTCAAAAATTGCGCACAACTCAACATGGTTTCCCGAAAGCGGTCTCTGACGCATCCGACTGATGCACCCATGGCGAAAAGACTACGCGATGCGAGAGCTCTTCGGCGAGCTGCTCAACGAGATCCGATTCAACTAGATCGGATGTAAGTACCAGACAAAAACCACACAAACATCAATCTAATCTTCGCTATAGCACCGAGTACAACGCTATCGAGTCCCCTTTCCTCCGCTTGCCAGCCGAGATACGCGATGTGATCTATGCCAGCGTCTTCGAGGACGAGCAGTGGGTATTCCATGAAGACGATTCATCCTACGAAAAAGGCTTCTTAAGCTCAAGATCATTCCGCGAGAGTAACCTCGGATTGCTATCCACTTCTCGCCAACTACGTGCAGAAACCGAATTACTTCCGTATAAGCTTGCGACGTTCCACTTCAGATTCTATGATTGGGACGACTGGAGCGAAGTGGCGTGGTTGGGGCGTCTTCAGATGAGATTCTTCGAGACTAGAACAGTGGAACAGCTTCAAGCTATGACTACGGTAACAGTCTCCGGACATGTCGACGTGTTGAAGATCTACATACATTATCGAGGGAACGTGGCTTCCTGGTTTGATTTCTTGCCCCCCATGTCAGGTAAGGCACCTACCCAGAAATGGAAATCGTTGCAGAAACAGCTAGGCGCCAAGTGCACAGGTCTCGATTTTTAGCTATAGACAGTTCAAACAAGTCATAACTATTCACTACATGTGCAATGCCCGTAGGGGAGCCTAGTTCCATCTACGTCACTAGCTCGCTTATTCCATGCGACGCCTCCACTCAAGTAGCTTGCCTTGAATTCCACAACGTCTCTCTTCCTACGTCTCTCTGCAAGTCTCAACAGAAACTCAGCATGGCATCCGAGCACCGCGTTGGGGCGCCTCATATCAGCAAGTCATTGGCAAAGGAACAAACGGACGGTGAGGCTCAGCGCAAAGCTCATGCTCAACAGCTTCGCGAGCAAGGTCATTATGATAAAATGTAAGTCTTCATATAGACTTTAGCAAGCCCCGTAGCTAGAACGTCTAGCACCGAGCTCAACGCAGCCAACTCACCGCTTCTCCGCCTCCCTGCCGAGATTAGAAACATGGTCTTCGAACATGTCTTCGTCAACCGCGTTATCCACTTGGACGCATACCGCGATAGGCCCTTATCCATTCCAGACATCTATATCTACAATAGACTGGCCGATGTTGGGTTGAGTCTACTTTTCGCATCTTGCCAGCTTCATACAGAAACAGCCTTGCTTCCGTACAAGCTATGTACGATGCGACTTCACGGAGATTGGAAGATAGCAGGAGTCGATGAATCGCGGCTCCTTGTCAGATGTTTCTTGAGGAGGCGAATGAAGGAACAAGTGGAAGTCATTAGTGATTTGGCATTTCGGGTGTTTGATGAGCAAGATGATGAGTACAAACTTCTCCGTGGGACAGGATCATACTGGGTTGAGTGGCTGGATAGCGATGGGGATGGACAGTGGCTGGACGAATTTCTCGGTTTCAAGAAATAGAGGAGTGAATAGTCACTTATTTTGAGGGTCGAGTCCATTGGTCTGTGGATGACAGATACGCCAGCGAGGATACCCTCGTCTGAATTCTAGTATTAATGAAGATATTGACTTGACATTTTACCTTTCCCTTTCCTAAGTTAAGCTTGAAAGTTGCTTTAAATGTCACAACCCGATACACTGGTCACTGTGCATATGTGCAGCTCAATAAGTCGAAACTTGGGTGACTAGCACGGTTGCAACGTTGTCTCTCGAGGTATTCTGTGAGCCTCGACGTCGATCAGTATGACATGTCAACCCTCGATCACGCGTTCGAATTACAAACTCTATCCCCAATTGCCATGAACATGCACGCGCATATCGCACGTTCTGCAAACGCCTGGTGGGCGGTGAGTCGAATGGCCCCCTTCACAGCAGCACGGTGGCCCTTGTCATTGGCCAGGGCTCCGCTCTCCTCTTGCTCTTATCCGCGCACCCAGGTTCTTCACCGTGAAGAACATTGCACGCGATGAGTCGCGTGAACGTCGCGCATTGACCCGCCTTGTTGTTGTTATTTTCTCCTTCGCGTTCTGAGTTTATGATTCGCACTCACCACCAACACTGCGACTACCAGCATCTGCATCACGATACGACTTTGTACGCGGCTGTTGTGCAACTGAACAGGTCATTGTAATATCTGTACCCCTTGTACCACCTACCCTCGCTCGCTCGCGCTGCAAACATGGCGCCGCCTATCGTCCCATGGCCGCAAAAGCGCAAGGCTTCGACCTCGGACGGTTCAACCTCGAACAAGCGCACACGATCCCTCTCGATCTCCATCAAGGTCGCCCACGAGTCCGTACTTGGAGGCGTACTTGGCAGTCCAGAAGTTCCTGTTGTAGCCAAGAATTCACAAGCGTGTCTCGGTGGCATGCCAGAAGAGCTCCTCCTGCACGTCGCTGGATATCTAGACGTGAGCCCTGTTACACTTGCGAAGTTGTGCCTTACGAATCATCGCTGCAAACGCGTTGCAGAAGAGGTGCTCTACACGAACATAGGCAGTCGGTCTCACGATTGGGCGAAAGCGCAATCAGTCGCTAGCAACACTACACTGGCTAGCCATGTCCGCCACTTGTGTTCAGTGTTCGATTGGGACGACAAATTGCCGGTCACTTGGGACTTGAACGATAAATTGTTGGCCACTAGGGACACATACGACAAGATCATTGCCAATGCCCACAGGATTCAGACATTCGCATTGGAAGAAATGGCTCCGCACAACTCGCGCAACTGGGCCAACAGGTATGATTTCCTTGCGGGTGAAATGAGTTGGTTGGACTTTTTCAACCTTGCTGTCGGACAGACGATCGATAGGCAGACCAACCGTTTCGCTAATCTCAACAAACTCACGATTGTCACCGATGTTTTGTCGCTCGAGAAGATCTCATGCGTGTTCCGTCTTCCGTCTCTTAACTCGCTCTTTCTCCAGGATGTTCACCAGACGACGCCGTTCAGGGACTGGCCGATCCCCACCTCGAGCAGCCCCATACGAGAGATCGCTCTCAGGAATGCGATGATGGACATCTCCGCCGTGGCGCAGATGATCTCTTCAGTGAAGTCTCTTAGCAACTTCATGTACGAACACAATACCATGGCTTGGGAGCCGTTCGTTAATGACGACAATCCAATGTCAGTGTGGCCTGAGCACTCCTGGAAGCTCCTGGGCGACGCGTTGAGGAAACATCGAGATACCCTGGTGGAGCTATATGCTTTCAGCTACTCTGATAAGGCGCTCTTAGACATTCTTTATCCTGACAGTCGAGATCTTGGAACACTAGGATCTTTTCAAGATTTCTCGAAGCTCCAGTATTGCGGTATTCCGATAGAAGCTGTCCTCGATGCTGCGACTACCGAGAATGACTTGTCGGTGTACTTTCCCGCACACTTGAAGCGGTGGTACACCCATATCACACCAGGAACGCCAAAGCTCTTGGAAAGGTGCGTTCCCGCGTTGGCATCCTTGAAAGATATTGTCTGCTTGGGTCAGGATAAGACCGTCCGCGTTGTCCTGTTGGACGGTCTACCATTCCAGGCACTCGTGCTTTCTCGTGCTTTCGCAGAGCTGGAGGAAGCCGGTATCAAGCTCGAGATTCGTTATGATTACGACATGATCACCTTGGACGAGTTGAGACGCTTGGAGGCACTTTCTGAAGAGGTAGAGTCGGATGAGGGGTCTGACGAAGAGTTGATCGACCAACCGGAAGCCGAGATCGATGAGGTGGAAGGTTATGAGTTACCGGACGCGACTGAACAGGAGATTGCCGACGTCTTGGACGGAAACATCCAAGCCTCTTTTACTACGCAAGATGCAGTGATAGGTGATCCGGTCGAAGACGTTGTGGACTATGTCATACCTGCAGCTTCACACTGCCATGAACAATACTTAGACCATGTCGCCAGATCTGATTAGTCGACGGTACACGTAGGATCCACCAACAGCTTCGCAACGGTGTAAACTTGGAAGGCAGTCTTATTTGTTTGATACGATTGGATGGCTCTTGAGCAGATCGACTTTACTGTCGACGGCTGATTTGTGTTTGCACGGAGGCGATAATTGTGAAATGGACGAGATCCGGGTGTCTGTAGCTTTCAACATATTGTCAGAACCGTGTCGCTGACCGGGCTTCGCGAGGAGTCTAGTCGCGATGTCGGCAATGGCAGGTACTTGTACTTACTCAAACCATGGAGAACAACATTGTATACAGCTATCCAATCGCGAGCTGCAAGCTCTGCCCGTGCATGTTTCGGATTCGCGGCTGTGTCAGAGACTAACAATAGCAAAGCGCGTTGCTACCTACAAATCAGATAGCTTGAGTGTCTCACCGTGTCAGGTGAAGCGGTAAATGATGTTGTGGTGATCGTTAGCATCGTGAAGGTTGTTGAAGCTGGTAGCAGCTGAGGTGCGGAGCGGAAAGACCGCGCTTCTCCCTAATGACGTCAGCTCCTAGCGTTGCTCCCCAGACAATCTCACGACACTATGTGAACATCAATACCTTGCAATCATTCAACCGTCATTCCTGCACTGTACTCTAGACTTTTCGAATGATTGCTTCATCGACGAACAAGCTAATGTTGACCGTGCGCGTCAAGCGTTGGGAAGAAGAGCTCCTGACGCTCGAGGCACGCCACGCATGTGCGATATCCGAATACCGTTCTCGTCGAAATCGCGCGGATAACTCCTTGTTGACATCCCTCGGAGCCCGCGCAATGCAGTGATACTTGGCGAAGTTGTTTTTGAACTACGGTCGACAGCGCGGAGGCCTTCCGCTCTTGAACAGCTTCTTCCCGAGATCCCATCGCCGAGCGAGACATCCATGGACGACATGCGTAGACTAAGTTCGCACATTCCAATTCTGTAACCTCCTTCCTCTTATCTATTCTCTAGAGTTTGGCTGCGAACGGCTCCCATCCAAGTCTTGTATATTGGTCCGTACGCCCAGCCGCCTTGGAGGTTCTTGGTCTTTGTTAGCGGGCCGTGGCAGTGATCTCCGCTCCCATCCCGACCGCCGCTTCTTGTCAGTTCGGGAACCCCAAGCCGGCTATCTGTGGCGCACGACATGGGCACGAATTTCGCTGCTTGGCGACAGCAGTCCACTTAGAATCTGTTTCATCACCTGCCTGAATGGGTTAGCCAATTGGTAGTCCTGACCTTCCCCAAGAAGCATAGATGCCAAATGGTGCCCAGAGTATACGACTGTACCAAGACGGTAACATAGTACTGAATGGTCGTGTGGCAACGCGATGGCCGAGAGCGAAATATTCCAGTATGAGGGTATCACAGTCATATATATACCCTTGGAGCTTCAGGTTAATATGCTCATTCCAGCTCAATACTTCTCCTAGAACGCCAAGATGAAGTTCTCGCTCGCTGTGTTGGCACTCCCAATCGCCGTCCAGGCTGCGCAATTCTCCAAGTCGGAGTATGCCTCTGGTGCAATTCATCAGAAGTTGATGAAGTTGAAGGCTGTACGACATATCCTCCTCTTCTGTCTACAAGATCCAGTACTAACGACTTTCAGGACCAATGGGATCATGACGCAGCCGAAGGCAAGCAAGACTCTCGTCAATGGAAGTCTTGGAAGAGCTGGAAGAAGGGTTCTTGGGGAAGTGGCAAGGATAAACGCATCAAGTGCAAGGATGGTCTCGCCGTCGTCGAGCAAGGCAATGCGAACCAGACGTTCAGGTGTAACAACATGGATCTCTACGACTTCGTCAACCATGCCGACATGGGCGGCCCTGAAGGCCAGGGAAGTTCTTCTTGGGGCTGGACAGCCCGCAACGGCCGCGAGTTCGGTATCGTCGGCCAATTTTCAGGTGCTGCGTTCGTTGAGATCCTCAAGGACGGCCAGATTCAGTACATGGGTCGTCTTCCTGCGCAAAGCGTAGGTTCGCGATGGCGCGAGATCCGCGTGCTGAACGATTACGTTATCATCGGTTCTGAGGCTGTTGGCCACAACGTCCAGATCTTCGACATGAAGAAGCTTCTCGATGTTAGCCCCGACAGCCCGAAGACCTTTGACCCGAAGACCGATCTTGTTGGCTTGTGGGATGAGTTGCCCATCGGACGTACCCACAACGTGGTTATTGATTGGGACAACGAGTACATCCTCGCCGTCGGTGCCCAGCCCCGAAACCAGACCTGCAAGGCCGGTCTCCAGTACATCGATCTTGCCAACCCTGGCAAGCCTACTTCTCCCGGCTGTGCCAGCCAGGACGGATACGTACACGATGCTCAGTGTGTCACCTACAACGGTCCTGACCGAAAGTTTCGCGGTCGCAACATCTGCATTGGCTACAACGAGGACACCGTCACCGTCTACGACTCCACCATGAAGAACGGCAACCCTGCATCTGAGGTCATCTCGACTCTCTCCTACCCCGGCGCTACCTACTGCCATCAAGGATGGTGGACTGAGCGCAACTGGCACCAATACGTCCTCTTGAACGATGAGCTCGATGAGCAAGAGGCCGTCGGTCCAGCTGCATCCGGCCGCCCTGTCACCCACATCATCGATTTCACCGACCTCCGCAACCCCAAGGCTACCGGTACTTTCTACGCCACCGACAGCAAGGGCATCGACCACAACCTCTACATCGTCGATGGCCTTGCCTACCAGAGCAACTACGGTGCTGGTATCTGGGTACACGATGTTCGCAGCATCAGCAAGGACCCTACTGGAAAGAGCGTCAAGACTGAGGGTTTCTTCGACATTTACCCTGAGGACGACTCTGTTGGTGGTATCGTTCAATTTGTTGGAACCTGGTCGCACTTCCTGTTCCCCTCTGGATACATCCTAGTCAACACCATTGAGCGTGGTGCATTCACTGTCAAGCTCGCTAGTGGTCGCGGAGCTAAGCGCGGCCCAGGCCACGGCGGTAAGTCCAAGGGCAAGGGCAGGTGAACATCGCGCGAGTAGTATAGCATAAGAACCTGCATTTTCAATAATACCCTGTTCAATGATGATCTAGCTCGATTGTTCGTGTGTGAAACGGCATGTATAAAACGACATTTTCTATCCTTGATGACTTGGTAAGTCTTATTCGCATACACAACACGTCTCGTCTCGTCGCCGCAAGCATCTCATTGACGCACATCCTCGAATCTTTGTCGCATTTGTCAGCTTTGCCATCCGTCAAAATCACTTGTTCCATCTCTTGTCTTCCCAGAAATATGTAATTCAGTTATGTTGAACTTGTTTCGCAACATTCGATATATGCTCCTCGATTATGCACAAGGCGTACAAAAAAGCGCTACCTTTCAATGCGCATGTATCCGTGGATGGCGAACGTGATGCCGTTTGACATCATGATGTGGCCTCATCGCGCCAAACCTGAGAAACGCCGCCATCACACCACCCCAACTCCCTGGATTCGCCGCCTGCGTAGCCGTCGTAGTATCTTCACTTCCACCAACCGATATCAAATTCTGCACGCCCTTTGTATTGACATTGTAAAGCCTTACCGCACTTTCTGGCTTCAAGTCCTCCAAGTCTACGATATTGATCTGGCAGATGCCGTCAGGACCCGAACAGGGCGCATACTGGGGGCCATTGAAAAAGACCCAGAAGCCCATGCCGTATAGCGCAAGGGCATGCGACTCTGAGCCAATGACGCGTACAGACCACGACATATAGCACTGGCTGATGTTGCCTGAACAGCCCTCGAAGGTCGGATCGTGCCAGGTGGCATTGGGCGTCCAAGGATACGGCGCCTGGGGCACAGGCTGCCAGTATGGTGTTTCGACCTGCATCAAGGAGGTCATGACGTTCTGCGCGTTGTGCAATGTGTAACCGTACAGTGTATGATGCTCGCTGCCGGTGCCGACAAGCCAAGTAGCCGTAGTGGCTTCAACGAGCATGCCTCTTCCTGTGCCGACGGATGTGGGGTTCGTGCCGTCGAGGTCGTGGTCAGCGGTCCAGAGCCAGCTGTTTTCAATGTAGACCGAACTCGTCTCTCTAAGGTGCATGACGAGAAAAGCAGCTTTGCACGGCTGCGTCTGGGATTGGCACGCGGTTTCGGTGCGAGAATCGGCCGCACCACCGATGCGGTAATGCGTGTTGTGGAAGGAAACGTCGCCTTGATTGCTGCCTTTCATATTCACTTCGACGAGAATGGCGCCGGGCAAGACGTCGGAAACAGTGAAGAGCATGTCGCTTAATTCGGCCAATCCTACCTCGCCTGGTTTGCCGACCTGTATCATAGGCTGGGGATTGGCTTCATCACTGAACTTTTTGCCCGCAGCGCTGATGATGGACCAGACTTCGCCAACGATTCGACTACCGGGCGGAACGTAGATGGTGTCTGTCACGCTGTAGACACCGTGTGGGAAATAGGTTATCTTGCAATTCGCATTGTTCTTGAGTGCAGCATTGATAGCGGCTGTATCGTCCGTCTGTCCATCACCTGTTTCTGGTCAGTGAACTAGTAACGTGACTTTGGCATGAGCAAAAGTACCTCTAGCGCCAGCATCCTTTACGGAAGCAAAAGCGGAAGCAGGGTAGTGCGTATACTGCGGTTGTGGCTTAGTGAAGTAGTGTCCCGAAGCATCAGCCAGACTACCACGATCTGCATAGACGTGCTTAGTGCCATTAGAGACTATGGCTGTACCATTGCCATCCTCGTACACGTGTCCGGAGATGTACGTTTGTCCTACGAGGCTGCCTTGAGCCATCGTCGTTCCGTTGACAACCAATAGCGGGCCAGAACTCTTCACGTCGATGTTCTCCAGCACGACAGAACTGGAACCATTGACAACCACACCGCAAGTATCACACCAGCTGTCAATAAGATTGAGCGACCCTGTCACTCCTTGAGCACCCATATCGACGCAGATGCCTACGTTGATGCAGTTGATCTGCTGCATCGAGATGACGAAACCGTGCGTGATCGCAATAGCTGTCGCGACGTTGGTGAACTTGAGGTTCTTCAAGCTATACTGTTGGTTGCTGAATTGCAGTCCGATGAGGCCGCCGGAGAACGTGAGATCTCCCATGAAAAGGCCCGATCCACCGCCGCTGGTACCTCCATTCATTTCGATACCGATGTGATTGCTACTGGTGGGCATGATGAAGTTGACATTGATAAGGTTGGTCGCTTGAGAGACCGCCCAGTTCAATGCATAGATCGTCTTGGCAGGATCCGCAGCGGTAGTGTCGATATTGAGGTTGCGTACGCCGATGTAGAAGTTGTTTGTACTTTGGGTACCTTTGTCGTAGCCATCAACCACAACGGTATTATTCAAAGCACTCGAGGAAGCTTTAAGAGTGGGTAAATTGACGGCATCCCCGATAATCTGAGTATTGACGTAAAGCTGGATGGTGGAGTAGATGGCGTATGTTCCCGGCGGCACATATATGAGGGCAGGTTTTCCAGTAGTCCCACCGTTACACTGGCCCCCAGCACATCGACTACCATCTGAAAACTATGAGCTGTGAATCTCCGAATTTGACGAGGATACGTACAATCAATTGCAGCATTAAAAGCATCTGTGTCATCATGAACACCATCTCCTACCGCCCCGAAATCTCTTACGTTACGGTAGATGTGGTAGTTAGGCGCATTGAGTAAGAAAGGGCTCGTTCCGTTGTGCGGCACATTCGGAAGCCAGAAGTCGGACTGGGCGCCTGGATTCGATGCGTCACATTGTTGGTGAGGCGGGTAGTGAGGAGGTCGATGTGGTTCAGGATGCCATGGAGCTACAGAGTTGTTCCTGTCGCCGAAGATACCATGTACGGGATTGGCCGGTGTCCAATTGAGAAGGTATGCAAATAGGTTCGGCCGGGTCGCATCTGGCGGTGCTGGTGTATTGTACGCGGTTGATAGTTGATGGAGTCCCGACAGGCACGCTAAAACTTGTAAAGACCTCATCGCAACAGCCTGTATCTACTACTCAGGTAGATGTCAGAGACCGAAAGATATACTTGCGAAGTCGAGAGCTACATGCAGCACATGGAGCCGGCACCCGGCGAACTTATCCCGCAGCGAAACTCCGGAAGTTGCGCCGAAATGAGAAGAAGCAAAACCAATGACCGCTGCCCTACACCCCTCGGTCTCCAGCAGGCCCAAAGAAACATCTCCATTCTCACGCCGAGATGAGATATTCTCGGAAATGAGATATGGCAATTTTCGACTGTGTACGACGCACAGAATCAAGGGGTATCAACGTTTGCGCTATACACGCTAGGCTGCCTGCAACTACATCAACACTGGCAAGCAGCATTCAGTGGCTCGGGGGCTCCCATGTCGAAGTGGCTACAATCACAGTGTCGTAGGTGCAAAAGGGATGGAGCCTCGAGAATCAGTGTAGATCGGGCAGCATCTGTTGCGAAGAGCTTCGTATGGTTTGATTAATGGGTGCTATGCTATAAGTGGTTTTCAGCATAGCGCTTACAAGATACGAGTTCTGACGTACTCCATACCCCGCACATCCGCGTAAAGACGTCGAGCAGAACCACAAGATTATCTGCGACTATACTGTAGTAGCGTTTCGCGCACTCAGGCATGCGATACTAGTAAACTCTTGTTGCGGGAGAGAGGACGTGCGTAGCGATCTCCCCTTAAATGAAAGCTTGAGAAAACGTTGTTGCCGCCTCCGAAGCTTACCACTTAAACCATACCAAAACTGGTAACCTGTTACATGGTCTTACAACGCTCTTCCCTCATCTCTCTCGCCGCTCACCATCGCGTAATCCACCTTTGTATTTCTATAACACTATTGCGCGCATATCAGCTCTGATCACAAACGCATCCCAGCCATTGACGTCCTTTCCAGTCGCATGCGCCAGCCCTGGGTCGCCTCACAGTACGCGCGAATTAACGAACATCCATCAGCTAAGCGAACCACCAGTGGTTTTGCGCTTCTAGGATCGTAGGATATTATGCGGGGCACGATTCTACCTGGTGTTTGTGAGACAGAAAACGCCATGTCGCCCTGCAACGCGCGCGAGCATCGAATGTAGCCAAGATGGCGGTGATTGTGTGCGACTAACAACTACCACAGCCTGCTGACTGGGCGGCATAATACAGTTCTCGTAGAAAGACAATCGCTTCCTCTAGGCAAAAGCAACGCGGGTGCCACACGGATAGTGAAACGGTCAAACACCCCGATGGGTCGGCGGGGCGTACTGCAGGTCCCCAGCACCGTGGTTGTTATAGGTGGTGTGCATTCAACACGGAATCGTTGAATGGTGTCCACGGGTGGCCTTGCCCTCTTGTCTTAAGGTATCGTTTCTGACAAACGCAAGACGACTGTTTTACACCAGCCACATTCCTACTAGTTCGCTCTACCTCATTTCAAAAATTGTCTCTTCTGACATGTCTTCACCAGTACAACACTTGCACAAATCTAGAGCGTCTTCTCCCATCATGCTATGCAAATAGCATTCACCTAACAACTGATGATACTTACCCCTTGGCCTCAGCACGAAAGGCGTATAGCCGCCATGCGGGACGACGCCAATATGACCCGGCTGTACAGCTAGCGGACCAAGGCCGAAAAGACATCTGGTCGTGCGGAATAGGCGGCGGATGTACAAGGCGGAGACTAGGACTTGATCGGAAGCTGAAGCTGTGGTGAGGTTTTGGAGTAAGAAGTCAACCGCATCCGCTGTATGGTAGGCGGAGCTTTTAGCAGCGGCGTTGCACTCGAAATCAAGGCCCGCTGTCAGTGCTTGTGCCAGGCCAACGAGTTTGTCTTCCTTGACGTTCACCAGCGGATCCGGGTGCACTAATGTCGCATCCCAGAATTGCGTGCCCTTCAATCGCGTCACCCGTTCATGTAGCTCGAGCTCCTTGATTATATAATCTGGCTTGAGCCCAAATCTCCGGAAGAGCTCCTGAAATGCCAGGAAGTCATACAACGCGTAAACCCTATCTCAAGAATCTGTCGCAAGATATTTCCGCG